CTTATCCCATGACTCTAGTACTTCAACATATCAATTCCAATTAAATTTGAACGCTGAGACTGAATTCAATTCAAATCAAAAGTTCTTTACACTCTTGTCACTGAGTTACTAGTTCACTGCTTGCATATGTATATTGACGAAAATTGGTACTTTGGATAAAAAAATGGATGTTCTAATTCTTAATTTCTTTAAAAGATTTTCAAGAAAATGACTGAGTGATTAATTGCATTTTGTTGTACGTCCCAACCGAGAAGTTTTCATTTATATAGAGAAGTCAATATTTACAGCTGAAGGGTTTCAAATTTAGACCTTTATTCAGCACTCAGGGTCATTGAGCAATGAGGGATCTTTATCGTGTCAAAGCCTACCGAGACATGGGGTCTCGGTTTATAAGGTCTCATCCGAAGCATCTGCAACTTTCATTTCAAAGGACCGAGCTCTTGGAAAAGGAGCAGTCGATATATTTTACTTACCGACTTAGGTCAGTTGCGACCGAGATTTGAACCCACAACTTTGCTATCACGGAGCCAGCTGAAGAAAATGATAGACCTAGTCTCAGTCTGCATATATTTTATTAGTTCTACCACTACCTAGTCTCTGTCACTCAAAGATACTCTCATTTGTAATTCACAAGTCTGTTTCGCTAGTGTCAAATAATTGATAAAGAAGGATATGACATGTACTTTAGATAACCATGTCAGCAAATACAATTTATCATTGTGTCAAATGCTGACTGACATTTTTCATAATAATTGTTATTCCATTTTTTACACACTAAATTGACGACGGATTTTCCCGATACTTCATAAAAAGGAGCACATGCGCGGGTGTGACCGGTCGGCAGGGGATGCTCATTCCTCCATGGCACTTAATCCCACCTCTGACGTTTTGGAGCTCCGTGTTTGCTCTGCACCTATTTTGTATTGATTTATGTACTCTTGAGCTTAAATACTGATCGTTACCTCCATATGTTTCATATGTTCGATCAAAAATGCATGTACACTCTCCAATTAGATTATATACTAGTTAGCTATTATCAAATATATTCGTCAACTTTTTAAAATGTGTTTTAACCCTATTTTCATTACATTTACCTTGTATTTTAAAGGATTGTAAGCGAATTTGAAATAAGTTCATAAAAAAGTTATATTAACCATTTACTGTTCAGACCTATTGAGAATATGGGTTTGAATAGTTAAAAAAAGTTGAATTGGAATTAGTAGTGATTTTTCAATAAATAAATGACTCATCTGATTATTAGTTTAGATGAGAATAAATTTAACATGTAATAAGAGCACCAATCCTGCCATATGTTGTTATACAGACTTACTTGCACCTTGTATCCGGTTATCATTTATTGATAACGGGTCTATATTTCTATCAAATAATACCATAACCAGCAATATCGAACTTAACTTGACAACAGACCCTGTTTTCGTATTTATTAACAAAGGTCTTTTATTCCATTAGGTGTTGGAACAAAAAAGACCCCTCATAGCTCTCTGGCCGTAAGTTCCGAGAGTAGGACAAAATATGCGGCTCTCCACTGGCAAGTGGTGGCGTCTCCATAAGCATTGAACAAATAATTTTTATTCCAGTCGCAGAGGGATGTTTAACAACCTACAAACAAAACACCAAACTAAGAGGCATTTAATAAATAAATACTTGAACCAAAATAGGCTTTAGTTATGAAAGCCAAATCAGGTTAAGGCCATCAGGGAGCCAAATCAATTTGATTATTATTATGCTAGTCATATGGGTAGATATTAAACAAGATCAAATCAGATTCTATTGCTCGTTACGCAAGAGTTTGTTTTAAGAACGATCAACTTTTAAACCAAAACAGGCTCCTTACAGATAAATTCATGTTATATGGATTTAAATAACCTAGTTTTGAGTTAGCCCTTCGTTAATTCCATGATCGTCATAATGGTTTTCTTAACAAAAAAATAAACCTTGGGTCATATTTTGGCTGATGTCTTTTATAAAAAAATGTTAAGTTCTTGTTTTTTTATTCTCTTTATATCATCAAAAAAAGGCTTACTGATGATGTGTCCGATGAACAGGGAATTGTATATCTTTCTTGGCACCGGCTGTCTCTAATTTTTTTTGGGGTGGAGGGGTCCATGTATATGCCCTGTTCACAGATTGTGTCTTATTTACATGGATCATTGTCCGTTCTTCTCAGCATTCACCGATAGGCAAGAGCATGCTCTACATATGAACAATTTCTGAAACGATTAACAAACAATTTGATGAAACAAGAATATCAGCAGTCTCGTTTAAAGTCATCATTTCGAAAGTTCTACAATGACCTTGTAAGCAAATAAAACTTATCATTGAGGCAAATGCTGACTGACGTTTTTCATACGAATTGATAATCTATTATTACAGACTGAATTGACGACGGATTTTTCCGTTATTTCCCGATCATGACAAGGAGCACACGGCGGGTATGACTCGACAGGGGATGCTCACTCCTCCGTGGCACCTGATCCCACCTCTATCGGCAATATATATATGAATGTCAAGATGAATTTACCAAAAGTCTTTATAGAAGTTTATGAATCAATTCTGTTTCATATAAAATTAACTAGATATTTTAGAAAACGCTACACAATATATTTCGCGGAGTATATGACGTCGTTATTATGAAGTAGAATGTACTAAGACGTCATGGTTAACAGATCTTTGCGTGCAGGTGAAAGTACAGAAATTTTAAACATTTCAAAAAAGAATACAGATTAGGGGCACACGATTAGTAGGGATGAAATATATTGAGACACGAATAGTATTCAAGGTCAAAAGTCCATAAAACAATACAAAATAGGAGCAGAGCAAACACGGACCTCCAAAACATCAGAGGTGGGATCAGAAGTGTTGTTATCTGCAAATTTAGAAACAAATTCCATGATTAAAAAATATTTTACAGGCCATTGAAAATTTGACTGAAGTCTAAGTTTGTTTCATGATCCCGAGGCCAGGTGCCACGGAGAAGTGAGCATCTATTTTTTTTAACTTGACATAACTATTAGCATTTAAATCCATCATACAAAAAGGATTGCGTGAAAATACCCAAATAAAATGCAACATATTACTGAAAAAAAGAAGCCATATCATATTAATTATATGTTGAAAGACAATTAAAAGTACTAAATAAAATACAACATATAAATGAAAAAAAGAAGTCATAACATATTAATTAAAAGTACTAAAATATAAAATTAGTGTAGAGCCCTTCATGCTGCCCAAGAATAGTCTACAGATATAAAATGTACTAGGTCATGACAAGGAAATTCCCATGCTCTGATTGTGAGCGGTCGGTATGACAAAAAGAAATCTTCCAAAGCACACATTATTAATAAAACGAGACAATCATATAGAACTCAATACTGGGCATTATAAATGTACATGATATATTTATATTATTAAATCAGCAATACAGCAATTCATTATGCTCGAGGAGGACCTCATTATGCCTGTATCGATTCCGTCACAGCCTTCGTAAATAAAAACTAATTATTGCACTCCAAAGGAAAAGCTTTGTTTAATCTACTGACTAAATCTTGGATCGTTTGCTTGAAAACACTTCTTAAGTGTATACAATGATGTTTATTAATATAAAAAAGCAATGTAATTATCCGGGAAATAATTGTTTACATTTTGCCGTTTCCTTGATTTTTATGCCTCCTGGAGTTTGTGTTTGTATGCGAGTTATGTCAATGATGCTAATAAACCAAAAGAAACTTATGCAACAAAGCTTTCAGGCATATAGATTTTCTGTCGCAGGATTGATAGCATTGCTTTTATTAATGAATTAATTGAAATAAGATTATTTTTCAATAATGAACAGGATGTGTATACAGAGGCTTTAAAAACTGTAATAGAATACATTGCGTTTCCTTTTGGGGGATTTGTAATAAACGTTCGATGTTTTAACTGATACAAAAAAAAGTATCTTGGACGATCTTCATATTAAAAATGTATTTTAGTTTTGGTTTTACTGTTATTTGATAATTTGCACTACATAATGATACATGCTGAGCTGGTTTCAATTGACATTATTACGCTTAATGAACCATTTCGCCGGAAATGATGATGGCATGTTTTAAATTCTGATTTAAAATATATATCCGTACTGCTCATCTCCATTGTCATTGGTTGTAAATGATTCAAAATTTCCTTTGTTCAAAATTCTTCTTTTGCACTGTGTACCTAATAAAATAATACGACTTCTGGAAAATATTTAAAGACAGACGATAAGTTCCACAAAAATAAATAGTTTTCCCCAATATTTTGTCTTTGAATTATATCTTCTTTAACATGTTTACTCACCAAAAATTATGTACATTACCAGGTATTTGTGCAAGATAACAGAGGATGACGTTTCATATATAATCCTTTTGGGAAATCTTAATTTGCCAATATCACATCTTTTGGTGTTTTGAATTTTTTAAAGACAATTAGAAACCTGTTAAGAAATCAAAAGATAATTAAATTTTTGATAATTTTCATATATTATGAAGATTTACAAAACAGATATCTGGGGAATGCATCGTCCGACCTTTATTGACTTATCTGTATCGACAATTTTTAATAAAGATTAGTACTTTTATGAAATGCACTTACACAAAAAATATCAAGGAATGAAACATGTGAAATATCTTGTACAACTTTTTTAAACTTAAAAGGGATAGTATTTTGGTCACCGATTACCTATACTTTTTCTATTGTTATAATGTTTAAATAATGGTGTATAAGACTTAAGCTCTTTGGCTTGATAAAGTCGATGTCATAATAATAATTTGGAAAAAAAATATAAATTAGTCAATATCTTTGAAAGGTTAAATTCTTTAATTAAAAGCGTGAGAATCGACATGCATTATTACTGCCATAAAATGTGAAATGAAAATAGAAATGTTATACCAGGTCATCAAACTACATTGCTGTGCTGTGATTTTTAAAGTTCCTAATGCTTAAATATTTTCTAGAATGGGAGGGAGGAGACATGCATGTGACGTATTAGTCACGGCATAGAAATCAAAGAACATTGATTTTTCCAGTTTAGTTATAAGTGTAGGAAAGAAATGGCTCGAATTCATTTCTGCATCTCAAATACCGCGGCGCGAAGTTATTAGAATATGTTGCTGGAAGAGAAAGAAAATTATAAGGGGCAATCTGATTGGGCCGATCATTTTGCAGTGTGTTCGTCGTGTTTGAAATGCTTGGAACACAATTAGACTTTTCTCCGTAGAGGACAGTTATATTTCGCTATTAATGGGTACATAGTAATCGTATTATGAATGAAGGGCGAGGAAACTATGTAAAATCTCTTAGTTCCTGGTTATAATTGGATATAACTTCCGATCGATTTTCCTTATTACTACTGCAATTAAAAGAACATGCTTCGAAAATCAAAACTAGAGCCGCAGACGGGATATCTTGCAACTCGCAGATATGCACAAGTTGTCAAAGAGTGACAAAAAGTGTTTTTGTAGAGTAAAAACCAAGTTTCTGAAAAAGCAATGAATGACACAATGGAAATGACGAACGGAACAAACATATCTTCCACCACGTATATGGAGGAGCTGGCCTTCATCATACCCCTTACCTGGGGCCTGCTCGTTCTAGTCGGCTCTATTGGAAATGGACTGGTCATTTACACCTTGGGAAAGAATGGTGAACTGACACCTACTAATGTGTATGTGATAAACTTGGCGTTGGCGGATCTAACTTTTTTGGTAATAGTTGTCCCCGTCACTACTGTAAGCTTTGCCGTGGAGGAATGGGTGTTCGGAGATGCTGTGTGTAAAATTAGTAACTACATGATATACGTGAGTACATTTTTAGTATTATCATGTTTTGTACGTACGTTAAAAGTATCACCATTTTTAAAAAACTTAAATGCATACCTCTTCATCAAATGATGAAATTTAATCTTTCAGTAAATCGATCAATTGTATAGTATCAAATTATGCTATCAAACTATCAGACGTTCTTGCCTTATTCTAATTCGATCTCTTAAAATGAAGTACTTAGATGGCATTATTTCACAGAAGTCAATAGTGTGCCAGTGCATTTGATTATAAAATTAATATTGTAGGAGAACGGAAAATTTCAGCAATTACTGTGTTAACACCATTGTTAAGTGACATATTATGTAAATATCAACGTCATTGTAATGTAAGTTTCAAAATACACCTCTTCTATAACAAAATTGTTAAATCTGACCTTATGTCTTCAAGGTCATTCACAAAGCAAAGAATACAATACTTCCATTTCTTCCTATGACTGGTATTATTGTATGTTAATACTAAATTGTAGGTTGTGAACCAGCAAGTGGGATGGTAGATAATTGACCAAAGCTTTAAAAAAAACAAAAGTTTTTGTGACTTAATAAAGAGATGATAAACATGCTAATTTCTGAAGGGAAAGAAATCAAAATATTTGAAGATCACTATGAAAAGCTTGAAAAAGCGTTCAAGATAAATCTTTATCTGGTTGTCAAAAACAAAAAAATCCCGCAATTATAAATAGCTGACCTGTATCAGACAATGCAAAGTGGGCACGCCTATTAACTTAAGCAAACAATGCAGTGTTCGAAAATATGTTGTCAACATGTACCTAGAAGTACATTACATGAGTCATCTAAATCATGTCAAGATACGTGTAATATTCATCATTTTTCTCCATTTGCTATTTCGATAGTAAGACTAAAAGTGTTTATACACTATACTGATAAAATGTGTTTTATCTTCTTTATTAAAGGGTGGAGATAATTGTGCACTCAAGCAGAATGCTTCAGAGTATAATCATGTTAAATAAAGCAAAGAATGTTTTTACAGTTGGCTCATGCAATCGTCTTTAAGATTAATGCTCTCATATCAAATTCGTCAATTAAATGCTTATCCGCTATGTACTCACATCATAATTATGAGATGATGTATGCCTGAACAACAACAACAACAAAATAAGATCGGTCCTGCCTATACTTTGCACTGACTGGTTTCTATGTTACTCTCTTAGTTGTAAGTCCTTACCTGTAAGCTATCATTTTGTTACTACGTTCTGATTTCTACCAAATTGACCGTCACAGTAATTTGACATACATGTATATAGTCTGACGATTCATCGGAAATGGTATACTAAAAGACTAAAACGAATGTTGGAGACAGACAAGTAAAGTAAGGACAGACTGAAATCTCTCCCCCGGGATTGTTGACTAAAATACATATTTAATGGAATATAGAATTGAAAATCAAATTCTCTTTTAACTTTAACTTGCAGAACATTTTCACATTCCATTGCATGTTTTTATCCGTTAAATTCTATGCTATCAGTCTTTCTATCCGTGAAATTGTTCGTCTTTGTAAATACATGTACAAAAATGCTAGTAGCAAATTAACAGCTGGCCATCTATAGATTTACATTAATCTTTAATGATGCTATACGTTGCCTACAAATGTTTCTTGGAATGCTCTACTTCATTTATTTATTTTACAAAACATAGACCTATCGATCGAGATATTCGCCAATTTTGTATTTAATCTATTATAAGTAAGATGTCAGTTTGCTACTTGAGATATTTTTTTTATTACTTGAAACATTACACTTTATCAACCCGGTCACATCTGTTTCAGTTTCATATATGAAAAATTTACAACGAAAATATGTAAATTGAAATCAAACAAAAACGTCATTTATCTTAAACTTGCTGACTTTGATTCTTCTAGAAAATCCCTTTTTTGTAGCAATGTAACATTAGCACCTGCTTATGGAGTTTATGCCTCCCATTTAATGCGAAAATATGCTTAAAGCACAAACAATGTTTAAACAAGATATGATATTATCAAATAAGTTAATGATTCAAGGAAATGATATGTCTCATCAAGTCGACTTTAGCAGATTCTGTGGTTGAATGAATTGTTAACAAATACAATCTATTATTCTATTATCAAAGAAAATGATTTTATATGAATTTTGAATCAATAACTATCTCTTTTGAATACCGTAGGTATTTTCCTGTTTGTTAGATCGAAGGAGCAAGTGTGACCGACTGGCAGGGGATGCTTACTTTTCCATGGCATCTAATCCCATCTCTTATGTTTGAAGAGCTGCTTCTATAATCTGCTCATGAATTATATTGATGAAGTACACTTTTGATCTAGGTTTCTGTTCATTATCTTCGTATGTCATTGAAAGTGCATACTTCATATACATGTTCTTATGATCCGAGGTTGTGAAATGACCTTGATATAACGTCGTTTCAGAAAGCCAAAATGTCATTGATAGTGTAATGGGTAGCGTATTTGGCCATGCCTACTATAGTTGAATCAGAGGGGATATTGAAAAGTGGACTCTTCCTATAGGCTGATCACCCCTCTGGGTAGATAGAATGGTCCGTAGGTATATAGAGGAGACGCTGACAGCTGCTAGGCATTATTCTGACGGAATCAGACTCAATCAGTTGTTCAGATAAGAAGAAGAAGATAGAAGAAAGCGTTAGGTAATTAATTCATTACTTGAAAAATAATAAAGCAAAGGTTAGAAGCGCATTAGTGGAAAGAGAACATTCCAGAGGAATTGTGGTGAGGTACCAGGGCGAAGTAATTCTGTGTAAGGGTGAAAGGACCTGGTGCTTCACTTAGCAATAGGAACTCTGGCTGTTCCAGGAACACAGTGCAGGTTACCTTGCTCAAGAACCACGGCCTACCATTGAAATTAATTGTACATAGTTCCAATCAATGATAACTCAGATAGAGTAAGAGGAAAAACATATATATATGTATATATGTTAATAAAGAACCCTAGTCCCTTGTAGAACCCAGTAGGTTTACACGTTACATTAGTAACAATTCCTGTCCAAGTCATAACTGGTGGACACTTCCATTTATCTAAAACATTGTTTATCATCTACAAGTACGTTGTGATATAAAACAACGACAAATCTTAAGAGAAAGTGTCTCTTGCATATAAAGTAAAAAACTTCTGTCCTGGTTATAACTTTGTAAAAAAAAAAAAAAAGGATCACCGCTCATACCTACGAAAGCCCAGAAGGCTCATTCGAGATTCGAGTTTCAAAATACGAGATTCAAAATTCGAGATTCAAAATTCGAGTTTCGAGATTCAAGATCCAGACTGACCAATCAAAAGCGGGTTCAATATTTGATTACTCCCCTTTATTATGTTTTTACTATCAAGAAACCGTTTAATATAATTATAACAAATGGGTCATTTGATTAAATTACAATGCAAAAATTTTTTTTATTTATTTTAGAAGGAAATTGAAATAGGTATTGGATTTTTAATCAGCAAGATATATTTCAATTTGTATGATAACTTCTTAAATATTAAATAGTTTACATATATCAGGAGTATATATATTTTTGTATTGTCTACTAAACTTGACTATATTTCCTCTATTAAGGAATGGACAGCCCCCCCCCCCCTTCCCCCTCGATGTTCAACGCCGGGAATTATTGGGCTTTTTGTTTTTTTACAAAATATATTTATAATACTAAATCAGTATGACTACAATACAAAAAAATCGTAAAACCCCCAGAATAATCGATCAACAAAGAAATACCCCATACATCGTAAGAGAGAAAGGTATGCCACTCCAGTTTGTTTACGTTGTACCCCCACTGGTATTTCTATGTTTAAAAACATGCATTTATTTTATTTTAACCTAAAATGTCGATTCACACTGTCTCTAGATATATTTCTATGTTAGTCCATGCTATCGAACTGACTCTGCATCTCGTATAATCCCATATTTTCTCCTTAAACAGCATTCTCTCTTATAATGTACAAGTAATAGCTTTTCAAAAAAGCTTACCTGACTAATGCAATCAATATCTATAGAACCTATAATCATGATAAGTTATATATATAAACGTTTACATTGGGGTGAGGGGTAATTATTTCATTAGAGAAAATTATGAAGACGTCGAACAAAACATCATGCAATTATTTTAAGTTGCTTGCTACTTATGAAAGCAATGGAGATCCTCGTTTTTGAAAGTGGGGGGGGGGGCAGCTAGAGAATTTTTTTTCGTTCATCTGCAAAAAAAAAAAGAAATATGCCCAAAGTTGAAAATCCTATTTAGGAGGGTGGGTGGGTGGGGGGGGGGGGAGTGAACAACTTTTTTTCAGTGTCAAGTTCTTTCTGTACTCTTTTCTTAGCATTAAATACTGCATTTCCCTTTAATAAATTTCCTGTTATATACAGGGGGATCCCACCTTTCAATTAACATTTCCTATATATAGTAAAAGTAGGGTTTGGAAAAAAGGGGGGACCCCCCCCCCGTTGCTACGTGTCTGATGGAAAAGGAACAGTGAGATTTTGTTAAAAATTGGTTTTGATCTGTTTTTCGTTTGTTGTATAATGACGCCTGTGGAGTGTTACAAATACTTGGAACTCAGGACCAATGAGCAGTTTCATGTAATCTTTTTCGTGCTAACACCTACTGCGACTCGGGACTTGGTTTTAAACGGTCTCATCCTAAGGACCGATCTCCACGTCCTGCAGTGGATTCGAACACGCGACGTAAAGTTAAGTTAATCATTTCGCAACTCTATAAATGGTTTTAGAAGATGTAGTAATTAAATAAGGGAAATGAACTAATGAATTAATGTATCCTGGAAAGCCGTGCCTATGTAAAGGTTATATATCAATTTTAAAATTAAAATTTATAATTAGATTCAACTGCATAAACTACCGGGAAGACAGCCGAGAATATGATAACTACAAGAAATAAATGAATCGTTATGATTAACATGCAGAATATGTTTAAGTACTAGATTGTTGGGTATGCCAGAGCATCAACGATTG